ACAACTCACACCCGACGATAGTCAAAATTGACTGGCGTAGCCGTTTCCAGGGCTCATGTTCCCTGAATGTGAATATGTCTTATGGTACTATAAGTGAAACCCAAAACCTCTTTCGGAATTGGCATCCTTATAATAGCCACAGGCACCATATTTCTGAAAAAGCAGCGAATCTGGCCAGTAAATTACTTACTTTTTTCTCAGACACGACACTTGCTAAATCACCACGTTACGCCTCTAGAAGTTGTCTAATTTCAGCTTCATAAGTGTATCTTCGTTCGTCTTTAAATTCGCCCGTAACATCATTCAAAATCTTTGCTATACCAAAAAAAAAAAAATTGCCATATAAAGATTAGTTGACTTTAATAAAAAGAAGTAAACTTTTTTAGTTACCTTAATTTTCGGCTGGTTTGTCATAAACAGTGCAAAATTTTTAGTTGGTTTATCATTTGTTTATAAAACACGGTTATTAACCAATCAAATCAATAACTGATAGAAAATCAATAACTGTAATACGTATTGTTTGTTGATCATGATTGCCAACCAATTAAACCAATTAATAAATGACAATACGGACAATACGGACAATACGTAAGTTATATTTACTAATCCCCACCCTTTCTATTGAGATTACTTACATGTCACAACCTTTTTTAAACGCAACATTTCGGTTAAGGTTGGCGATAGGTTTATAAAGTTATACCAAAATTTTGCAAGGAGCTTTTTTTTTTTTTTTGTTAATACGTGAAGGAGATTAACGTGATTTTTCGGCTTGCTAATTTTCAATTTACACCAGATTTAAATGTTGGATTGCATGATGATATTTTGAATTCCGATCATTAAAAGTAGAATGGACTAGAGAACCCTGAAAGCAAGTTTTTTTCTTAGTCCATTCCTCATTTAGGCTTTAGTAGCATTGGTATTAAATTGGTTAATTATTACATGACAACCAGCAAACTGGATCACCAAGATGACCCGTAACTTAAATTTATGACTTCTTCCGAATGACTCGGTAACCCGTCGGGTGACTTTTTAGCTGACTCAATTTTCATCCGGATGACTAAAAAATACCGTTCCTGATGGGATCTAAAAAAGGGTTTCTAAAACATTATATTACTGTAGCGAAGTATACGAAAAAAATTAGGATCAGAGTTCGTTTTCAGAACCTTATCAGAAACAGTACTCAAATAAAACCTTCTTTCTTTTTTAACATCATCACGATTGATACTGCCGAATAGTATTTTTG